CAAAAAATAACAAGAAAAGAAGCAGTAATTCCAAACAACGGTAAGAAATAGGAACAATAGTCGGTATTCTAATCATCTACAATAATACATGTACTGGCTCTGCTACACAAAAACAAGGTTGAGGTTCATGTCCAATGCAAATTATTGATGTTATGCGAACAATATGTAGAACAAACAAATTGCGCCAGATGGAAATTTAAGGGGGAAATCATACTGGGTGGTGTGTTTGGAGGTTCTGAGGATAAATGAAATTTTGTATAATTTCGAAGAATTACACATATTTCAGCTGGGCATAGCCACCGATGATGTGAATCCAGGATTGCCTGCTCAATATCTGCAGCAGACCAGATAAGACTAGCATGATAAATATGCAAATGATTTAAAATTAACAAGCAGAAAAGGAAATTATATAGAGTTCTTGAACAGACACTAATTTCATAGGATTATTTTACGACCATTTATAGATACACGCACATGTGTGTGTGCAGGAACTATTCCTAAAACAATGGTAGTTGCCACTTGCCAGAGCAATCCCCAATCCACCAATGTGGAGCATAACTACTTAAATCAGCATTATCACAAATACCATCAGAAGTTAGGGATTTGCTGTAACTGGTTTCAAATCCAAAGACTTGATATCAGCACTAACCACTAACACCACATTACACTCATATGGCTAGTCTCCTAAATGGTAATTAGTTACAAATCATCAAGACACCCTATCTCACTCTTGCTCTAACATACAATACCTTAAGAAGCACCTAAAAAATCAAGGAAGCATAAAACTTCCACATAACTATCAGTTCAGAGTAAAAAGCATTAATTAAGAATTAGTGCACACTCAAAAGCAAACTAATTTCATTCAAAATAATAGAAAATATTTTGCTTCAGAGTTGAAACCAGAAAACTTACTTGAAGATTATATTCTACATCAACTGTCATACTCATCAGTAGAATATGAAAGACATTAATGCATTCATAATCTAGAAAACTATCTTACATTTTCTAAAATGGAATCGATTCACAATTTATGATGTGCTGAAAACCTAGACATATTGAAGCTCAGAAAAGATTCACCTGATTGAGCATTTTCAGTTTCCAATGCCGCCGCGCTACTCACCCACATGTTATCTATATTTTCTGAAAGTACTCCGCTATTACTTGGATGAGAACCGCAAGACATAGAACCATGAATATCAGAATCGTGCACATGTTCTACAGATACTTGGGAATATGGACTTCCACCTTCAATCTCTTGGATAAAACTAAAATGTTCCCTTCCCTGATATAAAATCCAAAAAAGAATAGATAAAAAGGGGCTCCATGATGAAACTGTTCAGGCATCTTATTTACGAGAGTAAAGAATACAGAAAGTATTGAATCCAATTTTACCATGTGAACACCCAGTCCACTGTCCTGAAACTTATTCTAACATCTTTACTATAACTTGCTTCTTTAGTAGAAAAGACATTTTAGATTTTAAATACAAGTTTTGACAAGTCCCCAGCAGGCTGTGTTGTGAAAGAGTGAGGCTACATTCCTTTGAAAGAAAAAATAATAATAATAATAACAACACAGAAGAGGAGGAGAGGAAAAATATAGAATATATCAGGCAAATGATAAATATTAACATCTTTATCACCCCTATGAAAACAACAATTCTCTTAAAGACAACTCAACAGCAAGCACTGGGATGGTTTAGGATGAAAACATTGAAAAGAGTGATGAAGACAGAAAAGGGACATTTTTGAAGAATTGAATGACATGAAGCCAAGACCAAGAAAAAGGGAGTGAGCAAATACCTGGGAGGAATCAAGGAATAATTAGTTCACATAGCCATATAGGATAAAAGGCTATTACACTAAGGATAGTTAGAGTTAGACCCCACATTAACCACCTAATAGTAACTGACTAACCATATATCTATATACTCCTATAAATAATTTCCAAATGAAAAAGATACGAATATGACATGAAATACTACATATATAACTCATCATAAACACAATGTAAAAATACAATATATTGCAGCCATGAATTACAGACCATACCATAAATCAAAATATAATTCATTCCCATAAAAAAATAACAATTAAAGAAAAATATAAATCAATTAAATTATGTTTTGCTGGCTGAAAGTTTGCAAATTCAATGGAAAAAAATAAA